ATGGCAATACTAGCAGCTATGTTAACTCTCAGAAGGAGCCTGTTTATTTCTTCCATTTGCATTTGTTTTGATTTCCTATTTCTATTTCTCACTTTTATGGTATGCATCATTGCTTAAGCTCTTCATATCTTTTTTGTTACAAGTTAGATTATAAATAAAATTCAATGAACAATAACATATTCTCTCTTACTGTGATGCCTGACATACTGTTTTGTCTTATTCTTATCTCTTGTTTTACATCTGTCAACTCTGAACTGTGCTTCTCACCTCCTCTGCTAGAGCTCCTTAAATGCACTAACTGACCCTTATACTCTGCTGTAGGGCTCAGAGTAGGTGTCCATTTTTCTGTTATCGCAAAATAGATGAGAAAACTTTTAATATGATAATTTTAAGTATGCACTAGATTAAGCTAAAAAAAAAAAGGTAACCTCATTAATACACTTTGTCTTCAACAGTAGTCACTTCTACTGCCAAAAAGTTTATGCATTCAGCAAAGACTTGTGGACTCTACTTCTGGACACTGTTCTAGTGTTTGGAAACATCAAGGAGCAAAATAAAGATCCTTGCCCTTGGGGATCTTATATCTTGGTAGGAGAGACAAACTATGATTAATAGACATATTGACCTAAATTACATAGTAAGGTAGAACATGATAAGTGCTATGAGAAAGAGAAAACATAGAGTGGTTTAGGAAAGAAGGATCATGAGTGCTGGAGAGGTGCCGTTTGCATATTGGAAAAAAAAAAAAGGTCAAGGTGGGCCTCTTCGAAAAGATTTGAGTAAATATGAGAAGTGAGCCACCCAATAGGTTGGGGGCAGGGGAACCATCCAAGCAGAGCTAGAATTTGAGGAGATGCCTGGTATGTTTTAGAAACTGCACCAAGTAAGTGGGCAGCAGGGAGGCAGGGGATTGACCAGGCAGATTCTTGAGGGTTTGATGGGTTATTGCAAGAACTTTGGCTTTTATTGTAAATTTAAGGAAGAAATATTGTGGGGTTTGAACAAAAGGGTAACATGATCTGACTGATGTTTCATAAGTATAAATCTGAGATCTGAGGAGAGACTGTCTGATGAAGCAAGGACACATTTTGTAAAGTTTCTAGAAGCAAGACGATGGTAGCTTAGACCAAGGTGGTCTCAGGGTAGGTGGCATGAAATCTCCAAATTCTAGATATATTTTGCAAGTGAATCTAATAGATATTCTTGATGATTGTATGTGAGATAGGATGGAAAGAGATGAGACAAAATAGCTCTGAAGTCTTTGGCCTGAGCATTGGAAGGAATGATTGCCATCAACTAAGATGTGAAGGCTGCAGATAAAGGAGAAGTTCATGTTTGGACATGTTGAGTTTTAGGTTTTTATTGTTTGCTGAGTAGGCGTCTGAGTAGAATCTAGAGTTTAGGAAAGAGGTTTGAGCTGAAAATAAAAATGTGGGGATCATTGATTGGTTTTGATATATTTAATAAACCTTGTAACTGAATAAGATAACCAAAGAAATTAGCGTAGTTACAGAAGAGCAAGAGCTAAGTGCTGGGGCCACCAAGACGGGGAGTCAGAGAGAAAAGAAGAAAGCAGTCAAGCTGACCAGGAAGAACAAGTCATAGGGAGGAGAAAAAGAAATAGAATGTGCTCTACTGGAAGCCACATGAGAGAAACGTGTTAAGGAGGAGCGAATGGTTTATTCTCTCAAATATCGAAAAGTTTTTATAAAAATGGAATAGGAATTCACCGAATTGCAATTAGAGACCAGGTCTAATTATTTATAAATAATGAAAAACAATTAAGAATCACTTAATTGAATTGAATTGAACACTTCAGATGCATATTGAATGTCCACATATCAAAAAAAAAGTATAAGAAATATAAGAGAAATAAAAATAGAACACAGTTTTGTTTTTTTACATTAGGATCTTTTATTTTCTACTGCCTCTCACACTCATCTGCCATTAATATTCATGTACTATATATGCTTTCCTCTATGTATTATATGCCTTCCAGAAGGCCATCAAGTACTCTTTCATCTAAGTTCCTCCTCAAAAGAATTCATGGCTTCCAGGAACAGCCTGCTTTCATATCCTTGCCAGGCTCAATTATTGGCTGGGAACAGCCTGGGGGAGGCATGGTATAAGCCCAAATGCAGGGATAGAACTTAGAGAGCAGATGGGGGACCTTGGTCAATTACATTGTCTGCCGTGGCGTTCTGTAAGGCGCATTCTCATAGCCACCACAGGTGCCTTGGGACATCGACAAGATCTTCTGTCTTTAAAACTCCCAATGATTTGTCTAGAAACTGGTTTATGGCAAGGGCCAAATATGTACCACTGTCAGACACCAATGGGGTCTCTTTATTACAATAAACTTTGTTCTAAGAGTCCCTGCTTCAAACGGCCTGCTCTAAGTTCTGGCCTGAAGTTTGCAAACTGGATTTAAATCACAACGCAGCATATCTGCAATTCAATGATCATTACAATCACCAAAAGTCAGGTGCCAAGAGCAAACCAAGTTATCTAAGAGCACCATATACTTCAGTTTCTCCAGTTCCTGACTAAATCATAGATGTTTCCTAAGAGTCTATTTCACATATTTTTAAACTTAAATTTTTTTTAAATTAGACAAATTGATTTTGGTTAAAAGGTACAATTCTCTAGGGGCCTAATCATATTATAATAATAGGATATTATTATAAAATATGTTAATAAAATATAATTTAACATATAATTTTATAATAATATATAATATAAACATTAGTATCAAGTATTCTTTTAGTCAATTTAAATTTATTTTTACTCATTTAATTTTTACAATACTATGATGTAGAACTATTATAATAACCATTTGTAGATGTGAAAACTCAGACACAAAGAGATTAAGTGACTTGCCCAAGATTCAACAACAAATAAGTGCTAGAGTCAGATTTGAACCCAAGTACTCAGTCTTCAGAATCATGCTCTTAACTACCCACTATACCTCTCTTGAACGTCTTCTGCCAATGTTACTTTATTACAAATGTAGAATAATAGAATCTCAATGAAACCCACAGAGATCATGAGCTCTGAAAACATCATGGTTCCCAGTATCTCAGTCACAGAAAGAATCATTTTAGGCACATGACTGGTGAATTCAACCAAGACCTATAATTTCATCGATATGACCATGCTAATGGACAAGGTTTCTCAAATTGTGAGTTAATTCCCATTTATGACGTGTTTTAAAAACTGAAATAAAAGAGAGAATAGAAAACACCAGAAGTCATTAGGCATTGCATGTAATAAAGGTAAGTGTGTGTGTGTGTGTGTGTGTGCGTGTGTGCAGTGATTCAGAAATGATTTATTAACTGAAGGCTTAAGTAAAAGAAAAACAAAAGGAAAAAAATTTAAGTCTTTGTTCCAGGATCAAATGAATCCTCCATTTAAAAAGAGTTAATTCTATTGCCTACCTATACATCATTATCAATAATAGTTGGCACTGCACCATCAACACGTTTTAAATAGGAAAGCATGGAGCTTCATCTGAACCAGATAAATTATTATCAGAACTGTAGCTGCCACTTAGCCTGTCTGTGAGACAGTAATCAGGTAGAAGTCTTGAAAATTAACCCTTGGGAAGTCCCAGATGGATTAATGCCATTGGTTATTTAATCAGCCATCTCATTCTCCATCAACACAACCAAAAGAGCATTCATCCTTACTGAAACACTTGACACTGGAAAAAAGCAACTAAGTGTACCAAGGTTTCAGCTAGTTCCCGTTCTTTCATTTAATATTCCTTTTTCTGCCTGCTTAGTGCACTAACCTGACATTTTTCTTTGTTCTTATGGGCATGTATCTAGCTTCCTCCTACAGATCTCTTGCATGGCAAGAATGATACAGACTTTTAAATATTATTCTTCCCCCACAGATGTCAAAAATGCATGAGCATATAGTGCATCCTGGGATGTGCGTGGCAAAGAGGGAAGGATCCAATGTAGTCATAGACAATATCAATTTCTTTGATGCAATTATACATGGCCTCAATACTCTTAAGGTGGCTGTAATTACAAGAAATGCCTCTTAGTTCAGCCAAGCTGTCAGCTGCATCTTATTGCATACACACTGTGGTCAGAGCTCCATTTGGTGTATGCTGAGGGTTATGCTTTATGTATTCCAAGAACTTACCATTCAGTGGAGGGACAAGCAAACAAACAGGTGTGATAAAAAGATATCAATTCATACAACAAAAAAAAGTTTAAAAATTTTTCTAAATATGAATTATATCTTATCCCAAATTCACAAGAATAAATGATATACACATAAAACAATTATTTATATTTCCTTGAAATTTATTGAGATTAGTGGATTTTAAATCAATTTTTTTGTTTATTTGTTTCAGTCCTTCTGACTGAAGATGGCAAATGTTGGCTTAAGCAAACAAGTAATTATATAATAAGTTTAAATTTTATGTTTTCCTTGGACAGTGGGGGAAATGCAACCAAACAGCAGTTACTCAAGATAAGGCACACAAGTGTAAACCACTGTTGAGCTTTAAAGGTGAAAATGAAGGAATCTGATTTTTCCCCAATCCTTCTAACCAAAGCCTCAGTTGCAACCTTTTTCTTCAACCAATAAAGTCCCATGCATTTATGTTCATTTTAAGTAAGTGATGGGAGAAAAAAATCACAATCACCCAAAGTTATAATATCTGAAATGTGAATAATGCTTTTGCATAGATTTGCATCTCACAAGAATCTCATGTAGTATGTGATACAGACTATAGCCTAGGCAGTTTTTGAAGATATAATATGGATACCCAGGTTTTGTGATTCCAAATTTAATCATCGTTACAGGAGGAATATATGAACTTAGGATTTAGTGTATGATTGTATACATCCTATTATTTATTCAACAAGAAAGAGTTTTCACAGATCTTTAGAAGTGCAAACTGTTTGACTCTGCAAAAAAAAAAAATTCAAAAGAAAAGTTAATACTATAGTCTGACTCCAGATTTACAATTTTTCCTACAGTTAACACTCGACAACCAGATGCCTCGCCTTCTAAAATCAGTCTATTGCCCTCAGTATCAACAGTAATTCCGGAAAACACTTCACAGTCTCAAGGTATGACTTTTGTGTGCATGAGCGCGAACTTGCTTTACTTAGCCCTTTCTCACCAAGAAAACCCTACCAATATTTTTTATTTTTATTTTTTAAAAAAGCTTTATTTAGTTATAATTGATATATAAATAATGTACATCCACAAAATGAGGGTCACAAGGAAACTTTTGGGAGTGATGGATATGTCAATTACCTTGATCATGGTGATGGTTTCATGGGTGTATGTCCAAAACCATCAAATTGTGTACATTAACTCCCTAACAACCGATTCGCAAAACAGAGGTTTTTCAGAATAAGATCAAATATATTCACTTAAAGCATCATACCTATAAATCATAGAGGCTTACTTAAATGGGGAGTGGGGATGAAAGGAACATTGTTAAGACTGGCCCACATTAACCAAAAGTGACTTAATGTTTTTCTTTCTTAAAATAATAGGCACTGAGAATGCAAAAAATGCAAGCTCATCTTCAGCCAGTCCCTCTTATTCCAGTGAGTAACAGTCACATCTTTATTCATGGCAGTAGATATGTTGAATGTTTGAATGTTACCATTAAGGCAAAGGGTTTGATTATAGATAGATTTTTATCAGCTTTACTGAACCTGCAATCCCATTATAATTCTATTTAATTGCCACATGCTTTAAGAATTTTCTACTTGTGAGTTTGGTTTTAATGAACACACTTTGGGAATTATTTTCTTACCTTAGTGATAAGCAATTACAACCAAAGGTTAAAGTGAATTGATGGGGCTAGTCTCGGATAATGCGAAGTGCACAGGCAGAGAGCTCCATAAAAATGGATTGTTCACCTTTACAGAACTTTGTCTTAATGTTAAAAATGGCCTTTTAAGAAATGTTGCATTTTGGCAAAAACAGATACAGATATATGTCATGTAATATATATGTTTATTCTATGCTAGAGACAATTAATTTCTCTGGAAATTAAGAATAAGATAAATATATATAAAGCTGGGATGATAAAATATTGTCTTAGGGTTAGGTAAAGCCATTCTATTCAATAGGTCAGCATTGCATGTACTGAGCTGCTGATTCTTGGCTTCCTCATTTGGGGAGGCACTAATGACTTCACTCAAGGTCTAATATGAACTGAGCAGAACTTATTTAAACAAATATTTAACCATAACAATGGAAGTGTAAACCACCCTACAAATGAATTGGGTAACTATTTGCATTCCCTGATAACCACGAGGAACACATGAGCAAACAGATGAGAATATCTAACTAAATATTAACTGTAACTTCCATAACTCTAGTATGTCCCTAAGACAGTGTTTTCCTTGTCACTGTTGTTTTAACCTGGAAAATGACTGTCAGAAAAGAAAGCAGGTGTTAACAAAAACAAAACAAAACAAAACAAAAAGCTGCAAACTTCTCTTCTTAATAAAACAGAAAAGCCTCACCTTAATTGCTGCAGCAACACACTCCCCAAACATTTACACACACACACACACACGCACACACATATGCCCATCTTTCCTGAACCATGTTGATCATATCCACTGTGATATCCAGTTATATCCCCTTATGAGATTTATGCCTGTTCTAGTTCTAAGATATTATTATAGAAAAATATTTGTGAGTTTTTTAGAAAACCAGCTTTATAACGAGAGCAGTTCCAGCATGGGCTGTGTGTGTGTGTGTGTGTGTGTGTGTATTCTTTTTTCCAGTAACTTCACTATAAAGTAGTAAAGAATATAATGTGTGAATGTAAATCTGACTATAGGCTAGAGGACATCTTCTGCTTCTCTAGTCTTCCATCTCCTCCCTCTTCCAGTCTCCAGGAAGATGGGGAACTATCTCCCTTAATTTGCAATTTTATTTCAGAAGGGCTACAAGACTGACATCAAGTGGTTACGTCAGAAATAACAACTAGAGTAAACCCCATGATCAGATAAATCTTCTTTGCTTAAAATATACTATTTTAATAGATTGATGTTTAAAGAAGAAAACAAGCATGCATGCTTTTGCTTGGTTCATAAACTATTTGATGTGAACTTCAATAGCCATCTAACTGACAATGTCTCCAATACTTCTTAGGTGTTATTCTGCCAGTGGTCATTGCTTTGATTGTAATAACACTTTCAGCATTTGTTCTGGTGGGTTTGTATCGAATGTGCCGGAAAACAGATCCAGGTAGGTAATGGTGTTTTGTTTCATTTTATTTTCCTAAAAGGAGAATACACATGCTCAGTCTAAATTTAAATTTAAACTCCTAAGGGGAGAGAGGAATTATAGAAAAAAATTAAATGCCATATTGCTTGATCACAGAAATAGAGAGGAAGGAGCAGAGAAATCTATTGAATGCTGGTGAATGTAAGAAGTAGGAATTAACTGCTATTGGCAGATATCAAATATGGACAAATTATTTTTACTGAAATAGTCCCAGTTTTGTGGGTGATTGTGGGAATATGGTAGTTAAAGAAGGCAAAAAATGACATACCTTACCTATAGTGAAGATGTGTTCCTTTTCTATGTGACAGAGGACAAAGGGAAGTCTTACTAAGAATTTAGTTTGGAGCCCCATAATCTCAAGAAGAGTGTTCAGTGACCAACTTCCCTCCTGGGAGGCAGAGCTTCCTTCCAATAAAGGTGTCTTCCATGATTGCATGTTCTGCCAGTTGAATTGGTTCCTCAGGATTGAACCAATTGCAATTTTTAGTGGGATTCTAATTTGAAATTCTTTATTACCCTCTTTAATCTTTCTAAAAGCATTTAGAAGTCTTTCCTCTTTCCTTTAAAATGACACTACTCTTTTAAACATCCTTACTCTTTATTTTCTCCTTTTTGCTCTTTTACCTTCTCCTTGCCTCTTAAATACTTATGGTTCTCATAATTACATTATATTTCTAGTCTTTTAAAAATAAAGTTTATTTTAAAATAGGTTTAGATTTACAGAAAAGTTGCAAAGATAGCTAGAGTTCCAGTACATCTTTTATGTTTTCCTTATCATTAATATGATATATTTGTCACAATTAACCAATATTCATCTATTATTATAAACTAAAGTCCCTACTTTATTCAGATATCTTTCAGTCTTTCTTTAGTCTTGTTTTCTGTTCTAGGAACTTGAACTCTGTTTTCATTCAACACTTCATCTGAATGCTCCTTCTGTTCCCATGGTACTCCCCTCTGTTACCGTAGACATCAATCTACCTTTCTATTCCAGACCCTGCCCTGCTTGTGTAATGTAGAGTTATGTATCCATGCCTTCATCCATGCTGTTCTTTCTTCTAGAATGTCCAGCCCACCACTTAACTTTTATAACATACCTAATCTCCAATTTATCCATCAGCATCCAGCTCAAACACCAATTTAATGTAGCTTAGTATAACACACCACCTCTTTAAGCAAAAGGAGTATTCTCACTTTGAATTCTACAGAATTTTATGATATTATTCATCGTGCTATAGTATAATTACTTCTCTATATGATTGTTTCCTCTTAGTCTGTTCTGGGTGCTATAACAAAAATACCATAGACTGGATAGCTTAAAGAACAAACATTTATTTCTCACAGTCCTGCAGGCTGAGAAGTCCAGTCAAGGTGCTGTCAGATTGGGTGTTTGATGAGGTTATTCTGCCCAGTTTATAAACAGTTACCTTCTCTCTGTGTCTTCACATAGTGAAAGGAACAAGAGAGTTCTACAGGGTCATTTTTATAAAGGCAGTTATCCCATGAGGACTCAGCCCTCATGACCTAATCACCTACTAAAGGCCCAATGTCCTAATATCATGACATTGGGCATTAAGATTTTACATATGAATTTTAGGGGGACACATTCTGTCCATAACATCAGGCAACCTCTCCAGTCACAAAACATTGCATCATGCATCATATATAGAGGAACCTTACTGACACTTGTTGAGTTAAATTTTTAAGTTTTCAGTAAAATAGAACCTTGCCTTTCCTTACTTTAATTCTAAATATTTCACTAACATATTCTACCTAAGTCTAAAATACTGTTAAAAAATAACAATCATTTCTTTTCATAAGATATATAAGTCACACTATTCTTTGTTTACCCCATGGACAAGTGCTTCTAGGACACAAATGAATGCTCGCCCTGAGGCCATTCCCCAACCCAGAACCACAGGATCAGCTTAGCGCGAGAGCTTGACAGTGCAAGGAAAAGTTACGAGGCAGAAACAGTAGTGTTCATTTTAGCTCTTGGTGGAAAATAAGAAGAAAACAAATCAATGACTTTCCCTATGGGAGTGAGTGAATAAACTTCTTAATAATGTCTAAAATATGTTTTCTTACTCAGTCTCCAGAGGGGAAATAGCATTTTTATAAATCAGTTTATAAATCAGTTTCTCTGAGTTTCTAAACCACCAATCCAAACTTTTAAGAGAAATCAACCATCCAAGTTGAAGCCTGTGAGTGTTGAGTACATAGCAAAGGTAAACAATTAGTGTGCTAAATTCATTTGTAAAAATACCCTGTGCTGAAAAATTGCTCTGCATGGGAAGATTTGCAAATAAGTTGTTAGAAAAGTTGACATCTTCTGTTAAAGAGGACTCTATGGATGAACTGGATCATTCAGAAAAAAAAAAAACAATGTATAGAATTCCTACCACTCTAGAGAGTTATTCTGAAGACATGGCATACTTTATAACCAAGTTTGGCAATTGTACAAATAGCCAAATCTATTTGGTTATTGTTAACTTTGTTTTCCAAATAGAATTTGTGGCATTGTTACATTAAATTAGCACCATTAAACATCCACAGTTAATCGCTCTTCAGTATGTGGGTGAGACTTCATTAAGTCAGAAAATTCGTGAACCCACTCTGCTCTCTGGAAGACAACATGAATCAAGAAATTTCCGTATCAAATTGCATCACAGGTGACATCATACATGGCAGTTATAATAAGAATTGTTTTTTAATGTTAAAACTCTACTGGGAGGGAAGATAAGGTTGAATCTAGTTGGTGAACATCACATGGTACCATGAATTAAATCCTAGGGATTAAGAGTCATGATAGGGTATCTTTGCCAAGGTGACAGAACTAGAAGTAGCCAAAATATTAGTGAAAACCAAAGTCTTTATAAAGCAATGATGCTCAAAGCCAGAAGAATTATATTCAAAGAGCTTTATATATCCGATGACAAGAGATAGATCAGAGATGGAAGGAAATCTCAGAGATAGGGGCTGAGTAGCAATGAAATAAAACCACAGAAAATTCAGGAACAAAACAAGGGGGACTTTAAGCAATCACATTACATAGTTTGCTTAATAGGCCACAGTGATTACAAAGTTTGACCACCAACAACAGCTCCCAGAGACCATACTCTTGTGCAGAATGAGTCATCTGAGTTCTCACTCTAAGTCCAAGTTATTTTCTACCAGACCTTATGGAGCAGCCTGGCAAAGCATACAAAAGATTAGTTGCCATTAGCAGCCTTAGTGACATTCTGCACGGCTCTTTTGACAGGCTGAATCAGGGGGATTCAGATGCAATTAGAATTGATAGCTTCGTCGTAGCTCACTACAAATACAGTGAGTGATTTGTGTCCCCAGAAAGAGCAATATATAAAGTCAGAAATTTAATTCTCTGATAAGAAAAAAAAATGTAATTCAATACTTGGAGAATTTTCTTCAGAGAAACTGAAATAAACAGACATTTTCTGGTCTCTGTGGAATGTGTGACAATGAATAGTAGTTTCACATAGTGATATGAAATTATAAGGTAAAAATTAGTCTGGAAGTAAATTCAGTGGAGTTAGCCTAGTTAGGACTATTTCATGAATGTATTAGCCATACCTGAGAAAATGAGTGGTACTATATCTGAGAAAATGGTCAAAGGGGTGTGGCGTGTAAAGATGAAAAAATTAAAAATTGGCTTTAGAAATTTCTCTACACAGAAAGTAGGTCTCTTGGGTTTTGTGTAGCCCAAGCTTCTTGCAAATCTAATAACAATTCTGTCCTCTCCTAGGCACGCCAGAAAATGGAAATGACCAGTAAGTGATGCCACACCATTTTTTTTTCCCTAGAAACTCTTTATATAGAGAAAAGTATTGATCTTACACTTAAGGTTTTTTGTTTGATTTTTAAAGCATTTGTGTAGGAAGCACTGTAAACGAAGTTTGGCTAACCATTTATCAGAGTTCTCTCTAGTCAACAGAGAAATTCCAATGACTAAAAGAGAGGATTGCTCTTAAGGTTGGGCAAAGTAGTAAACTGAAAATCAAAAGATGAAATGCAAACATAGAAGAATGAATATAACTATGAAGATAAATATTACAGAAAACATACCTAGAGTTTTTTAAAGTTTTCCCAGTGAAATTTTCAGTATGTTTATCATAGCTGCACCTTGAGACAGCTATGAGCGGCTTTACCTTAACAGTGGATGCTTGTTCTGCATTGGCTTTTTAAAAACAAAGTGATTGCTGTCAATCGAGCTAACTGTTGTAATCAAAGTGCTACAAAGAGATAAATTGTTTTAATGTCAAAAATCAATTCTGTGGTTAAGTGTTGACCTGAATTTGTAGACTGCCTTTATGTAGGTGTTTCTGTGTGTTTATCGGGCTGTGAACTTTAGAAATAATGTCTGTAGATTACCTACCCTTCTTAATTATAAATAGAGGTTTTTGAGATGTCCAAGGACAGGAACTTGGGTTTGAAACTATTTAGAATCTGAGAAAGGACAAGTGGGAACTCTTAATTAAAATAGTTCAGACACTATCCTACAGTATCCAAAACTTCATGAAAAAGGATATCCCTAGAACTCAGCACCAATCCAAATTTTATCTGCAAACATTTCTATGTCTTATCCTTCATAATTCAAGACTAGAGACCCGTACCATATAGACCTTGTGACAAGTGTTTCACTTGACCCATCTTGATATTTAACTTATCTGATGATCATCCCTATAATAGAATGATGGAGGTTTACTGGCTTGATTCCAGAAGTGGAAAGTGCTATAGTATTATGTGTCTGTATGTGATGAGACACAGGTTTTGCCATAGAAACACATAAAAATATATATGCTTGTGTATCTTCTTCAATCTGTGTATATCATATTTACTTTCTTTCACAGACATACAATACTAATTACTGTGATGCTAATTTAAATTCTTCTGTTTCAAATAGACCTCAGTCCGATAAAGAGAGTGTGAAGCTTCTCACTGTTAAGACAATTTCTCACGAGTCTGGTAAGCTCTCAGATTGCTGATAGGATGAAAAATGATTATTTCAAAATCTAACTTGGATTTTGTTCATGTCTGAAAGCTTCTTAGGAAAGAGTCAATTATTAATTTCCAATAAATACAAAACTCTCCTATAAAGGAAAGATGGAGTCCTGGAAATATTATTTTTGGTAAAATTATTGGATTACCTGGCATTCAGAGGTTGCTTTTTCTTATGTCTTGATGTGTTCTAAAGAATGAGTGGTAACTAGAGGCATTTTCCATTCTGAAGTAGTGGAAAAAACCCAGTACTATAGGGTTTTTTATTATTGCTGTTATTTTGTTTCATTTTTGGTAATGGCTGTGTATATTCCACTGAAACAAACATTCATTAGTTAAAATGTAAGTCATATATTGTGTAATTATATATAATTTTAATTGGGTTTCCCCATGAGGACAAAATACAATTTCCTGTTGATAAAATTTACATTTATTTTTCTGATTTCTTAGGTTTCGATTTAACTTGATTTGAAATGTAAATGTTTTTTCAAAATATAGATATTATTTGTATGAGTTATAATGTATCAAGAACAATGATAAATGAAATGCTAGTTTTCAAAAAACAAAAAAGCATGGATTATTTTCTTGTTTTGAGATATATTTAAAACATTAATATTATGAAACAGATAAAAAGTAATTATTAGCTCTACAAAACAATCCATGTGGCTCTATTTAAATATCAAGTTACATTATGACACTTACAATATTCAGTTCCCCCAATTTTACCTATACAAAATAGTTCCAGAATACAGATGTTATGTAAAGTGAGAGTTATAAAATGATAAACTACATTATAAATAGTGGCAAAAAAATTTTGTAAAATAAAAAGTTAGCTATATTGTCCCAATTCAAGAGCAAGATATCAAAAGCCAAAAGTGGCCTCAACTTCAGGTAGGAAATTCTAACTAGAACAAACTACAAAAGGCAAACAGAAGACTCAAAAAGTGAGGGCATCCAAAAGTCTGCAGAGGCATGACCAAACTCCTCAGGTGAGCCATTGTCTTTATATAAAGACCTTCTTTATTCTGGTATCTCTTCTACTCTTTGATGTACATGGTTCTGTCAGAGATAACCTTTTGAATGAGCAGAGATAAAATTCATTCATAAGATCATTGGAAATAGGTTTTCCCTGGCTATTCACATGCCATGACTAAGTAGAAAACTCTGTTCTACCAGGTCAGGGAAAAGAAGCCTAAATGTGAACCAGTCCTGAGTAAGCAAGCTCACGAAGCAGAGTCCCCAACCCCCAGGCCATGAACCAGTACCTGTCCCTGGCCTGTTAGGAAGCAGGCTGCACATCAGGAGGTGAGCGGTGGGCTAAGTGAAACTTCATCTGTAATTGCAGCCGCTCCCTGGCGCTAGCATCACCACCTCAGCTCCATCTCAGATCATCAGGCATTAGATTCTCATAGGAGCACTGGTCCCTGGTGCCAAAAAGGTTGGGTCCGCTGTCGTGAAGAATCTTGAGTGTAACTATACCATTTGTCATAAAGAGTTCTCAGAATCTGCGTGTGACTTGCAAGCAAGCATCACAACAATTTCATTGTTCTCTCCTCCTCCATTGTGAATTTAACATAACATTCTCCAAGCTGTGGGTGGCATGCTGACCAGCACTTGGAAAAACCTCTGTGTAGAATCCCGTGGCTGGGATCATCTACTACCCTGTTCTACCAGGGAAATGACAACTGACACCAGAATTGAGACATCCAGAGTGGAAAAGTCTAGAGAACTTCATGTTTTTTGGTGGCAAATTTAATATCTGATTCTTCAAGGAAAATTCTACATAAGCTGATATCCCCCACTCTCGTAATTACTATAGTAATAAGTGGAATAGACTACGATGGAATTGTTAGGAAGACCCTTAACTCTCCAAACTCCTTTCTCTTTCATAAGCAACTTTTCAGGACACAGGCCTAAGGAGGCATTATCATGGAAATAGTAAAATCTATTCTCTGGTATTTTTATTTCTGCCAATCTCATTTAGAACTCACACCTCATTTAATACAATAACAGCTCAACGGTCAACCCAAGTGATTATCATGGAAAGTATTTGGTGGGAGGACAAGACTGAAATGGGTGATTCAGAGTCAATTTCAATAGCCTAAAATAATCTAAAACATAATGATCTCCAAATGCTCTTAGTACTACCACAATTTTTAATAAAGTCTGGCTCCTGAAACACAAATGAATCCCTTTCCACTGTCTTTCAGATTTGTCCAAATACGCTTTCTTTATGAAACTATGCTCAACATACTCATCAGAAGTTACACTGTTATAATTTTTTACTTAAATATCTTTTGCCCAATAGCGACAGTTTCTCTAAAATATAACTAGAATAAAATCTGAAGTGATTAGCTGTGATATAAGTTTACAGATTTAACCCAATCTTCCCCTATCTCCTATATAAAAAGAAATTAGAAATTTAAAAAATACAAAAAATAACTTGATAGAACAAATATCTGACCACCTACCACTCAGAATGGATAGGTTTGACATTTTATGTTATTTGCTTTATGGTCTAAGAAATATAGTGTGAATTCATATGCCTAAGAAGTAATAAAACAAAATTTGAGCTTCAGCGGCCATGAGAGTTCATTGGATTGGTCAGTATTTCCATTTATAAACTCTAGTCTTATATCTGAAAAATAAAATATATCATTTTAGAGGTTAAGAAATCATGTTTCCAAGGAAAAAGAGCTCTGCAGCCATCCACCTTCAAGGAAAATGCCAGTGGATGCTAAATTGCCTGGATTTCTAGGAGTCTGAATGAACCATGGTTATTGTTCTGTTAACTTTCTTCTGATAAGACAGTTTCTTGCCCTAAAGCCTTCTCAGTAGTCCATGGTGTTTATCTTTCCATACTCCCTACTTCCTTTAAATACATTCTCTCCCAAGCAGGGTTTTTCTGTTGACGATGTAGCCCATGAATGTCTAAAATTAGATTATTTACACTAGGAGTTTTCTTTAATGTAAAAGAGAACGTCTACTAGAGTATAACAAGAATGTGCTTTCAGAAAAAAACTGGATATCAAACATAGCAAATCGAGGAGTCCTTTATGGTAACATATAAAATCCCATGCAATTTTGGTAAGGGATCTGGCTCAGTTAAACAGCCTGTGATGGACTGCAAAATATACACATGACATGGTTCATGTTAAATGTGATTTCCACTGACATCACATCTCATATAGTAAATATACATTACCGCATTTTTAATATTTAAGGCTGTAAAATTTATGAGGAAAACTGTTTATGTTTATTAAAGAATCCATGACCACAGAACAATGAAAACACAGTACCTTTGAATTTAGTTTCAAAGCATTACTTGATTTTTGAACTATTTGGTGAAAGGAAAAGCAGATCTGAATTTATTATAATATTGCTCTGCTTAGAAAACTCAGATATGTGTGTAATAGCTAAGATTAAGTTCAAACACATGAGCATGTCTACCGGGGATGCTGTGATGTGCCAGACTTCTCTCGTTCAGTTTGGAACCACTTAACATGGCGTATTGCCCAGACATCATTCATCTCCTGTCCCTGTCTTCCTCAGTGAACTCAAGCTCTTTTGAAGGAGAAGTTGGTGCCTTGGTCTCTCTTTTGTCACTCCTTCCTCCCCCTCCTCACCATTATAGTAATTGCACATTATTAGTATATTATTAGTACACCAATATTAATTAGTATATTATGGTAACTACTCAGTAAATACACAGTTTTGTTTTGTTTTTTTGCTTATTTTTACGAATAAAAGTTCATTGACTACAAGAAACGAATAAAAGTGTAAAGATTAGCAAAAGATTCATCAATTCATAAAGCTATACATTGATCCAGCTTCTATGTTCTCAGCCTTTCAATAAATATTTGGCTCAATCTCTACATTTCCACCAAAGCTTTCTTGATTGTCCCAGCTGTACATGGTCTTTCTCTCTTCTTAGCATATCAATTTGGAAAATCAACATACATTACTGCCTTGTTATATCTCTTCGTGGCTTAAATTATCATTTTAGTATTTGACCACACTATGTACAATGGAAGATAGAAAAAATACGAAATAGAAAATAATTTAAAATTACTAATGAAACGCAACCTTGGTGTAATCATTATTGGTTTTTGGTGTATTTCATTCCAGTTTGTTTTTTGTTTTTTTTTTCTAGGTATGTATGTGTCTCATTTGCTTTTACCATAGATATCATTATTAGAACTATTATTGGAATCAGATTGTTATTGAATCTTTCTCATATTCTCTATTCCCAATTAGATAGATCTTGAAGGGATATATTAAGAATTATAATAATTTTCATATGATATGCTTTACCTGACTTCTGGCTGACAGTAGGGATTTGATAAATATTTATTTTGTTTACTTCTCATTCCTGAAGTTCATACCCATGGATTCCAGGAGGTGCTGTGCTTTTTACAGTATAAGTAATAGGGACCAAAGGGTTGTTTGGGGGTTGGGCTGTCGCTCTGTGCCCGACGTTTCTGAGCACAGGACCTAAGGAGCTCTCACAAGGAAGTTCTGGTTTGTTCTCCTCATAGGTCTCTAGCACTATTTATTATCACCCTTACCATGCAGGTAACAGATGACATTAATGGAGTCCCCATAAGACAGGTTTCCTGACTGGAAGATAAAAGCTGGAGCAAAACGATGACATTTATTCCCGAAGCTGGAGACTTTGGCCCATGTTACTTTTATATAGTGTGACTAATATTGAATCTGTCTGAAAGACACAGATAATGTCAACTGTGTTGATCACAAATCCAGGGGCATGTAAAAATGCTTGGTGTCTCTCAGCTTCCCATCATCCTAGGTTAATATTTATCTTTATATTGGATGATAGAATAACACCATTATTTTGAAAAATGTCCCCTGTGCTGTTCTGTATGATACCAAAGTGTTCATGTGGGCATACAAATTCATTTTCACAAAACTCTCACTGAATTATTTAAACAGAGGATTTTAGAATGTTTTCCTGATAAAATAGCACTTTAACTATATGACACGGTTTTGCTTAGGCAGAGCCAGCTCATGGAACAAGCAAAAATCAATAGCTCATTCTCCAGGGTGCCTGTCTTATCACCTCCAAACTCACACCCTCACCCCTACACCAAGGGAATTAGTTAGCATTGCTCCTTTAGGGTGAAAAATGATGATGGCCAAAAAAAGCTCATCAATCTTGGTGAACAATTTCCAGGCCATACCAAGAGGCAAATTGTGGCTCTAATGACATTCTTGCAGTGAAATTGGACTTTTTTTGAAAAACAAAAAACAAGCCAAGAAACTTTATTTTCTTCCTTATTTGCTCCCTGAGCTCATAGATCAAAACATTCCTTCTGTTTTCAGGTGAGCACTCTGCACAAGGGAAAAACAAGAACTGACAGCTTGATCGATCCTCCCCACACCTGGGCAGTACATATGTAAGTTCCTTAATTTTATTCACTGAGACACTCATTAATATCTGTTTCGTTAGCCTACTGCAAGCTAGATTATTTTTAAAAACTTTTATAAGCTAAAAAGTTAATGGTTTGTGTCTGTGAAACCATCGTTGCCTATTTGTCTAAAAACAAACGCTAAGAAGATTTGCTAGAGAAATGAACGTCTTGGGGGCTGTAAAAGGTGCTTCCAGTTGCCCTTCCTACCTCAGGGATGACACAGTTTACTCTTTCTGCCGTTGCTAATGTTTCCTTATAAATGCAGTTTGCCTTTACCCGGGTCACTATACACATACTGACAGTGGCAGTTATACAGGGTTCTATCGCTAACAAAGACTCACAGGACTCAAAATGACAATGTTTACAAATTTGTAGTTTATTGCAAGACAAGAATATGAGATAACAGCTGCATTAAAAATGTGTATCACAGCCAAAGCCTGGCTCAGGGCACGGGGTCCAGACAAGCCAGCAAGAAAGTCTGATTGTCCTCTGTCTGTAAGGACTAACCCTGGATGTACTTTCTCTCTGGGTCCAAGAACCATGATGTATTCACAAAGCACCTCAAATAAGGTGATCCAAAATGCATTCTCAGCTGGGGTTTCTTATACTCATCTGGTCCCACAGGCAATTTCTTGCTATATAACTAGCTGAGGGATAGTGCCCTCCAGGTATTTCAGTGAGACCAGATGTAAATGATCAATTTCATTACAATAATAGTCAATCAATAAATAATTGAAAACTCTCAAAACTAAGGTTCAAGCAACACCGTTATTCTGCATGCTCCATGCTTTGACCAGTAATTGGTACAAAGCAGGTACATTTCTTATTTCAGCAAAACAGCTCAGGTCAATTTTAGACCTGCTAGAATTAACCCTCCCAGCTTAGCATGGGATTGTCTTTTGCCTTCCTAGAACCGGCTAAGGAGATTTTCTTCTTACCTTAGTTTTCACAAGAATCATTGATTAATGGTCTCACAATGAGTGTCTGGTCCTTTTTAGAACCTGCAGAAGAATTTGCCTTTTGGCAACTAATATTTAAAAAAAAAAAAAAAAGAAGAACAAATAAATATGTATGTGCCCATAATTGGCCTGACTACAATGGCAGTCATTCTGGGTAGTGTCCAGCGGGCAGAATATCATTGTTGTGTCCACTACCTATGTCTCCTGCCCAGCCACTAATACAATACTGATACAGACACTCAGCTAGTGCTTGTTGCGTAAATGATGACTACCACACTTCTCTGGGCAGAAGCAGGAGATGGACAGAGGAGTGCCATCAGATGTATCAGAATTCCATCACTCTCCAGCCAGCAAGGAATGGATTAGAATGAGAGAAATCTGAAAGTTTGCCTTCAGGTACAAAATTCGAGAAGCTGAGAAGTTCGAGCAGTTTCTGGAGACATGTGCATAGAAAGCTTTCTTCCATACTAGTTATGGTTTCTCTGCAACCGTAGTGAAAGAATGCCTTCTAGATGATCAAAGTGGACAAAATTTAGTAACTAAATTGTCACATTTGGAGGAAGACAAAGTCTTCCGTTAGTTGGAAAGAAAAAAAAAGAAAGGAGACGAGGAGAAGTGCTGACCCAGAGAAGCTCAACCAAAAACATTCCCATTCAATTCCCATTGCTTTCTATTTTTGTACTTTAAAAAGTATCTTTTGATTGCAGTGATAGTTTTTGTTGCTCTTCTGCATAATTTTGGAATTACAGTATTGATGAAGATCAGAAAATAATGGGAACAAGTTTGACATCTATCAACTCCACTATTTTTCTTACTTTTTTCCAATGTATATCTCTTAGCAATCACTATACTTTAAATGTAGTAACCAGTGAGTAATCAATCACTTTCTAGGTTATCAACTAGAAATCAGATATCAATTCAGAGATTCAGGATAAATAGAAATGTAGTCATTAGAATTAGAAATTTGGGAAAACAAGTTGAGAAATCTTTCGCTTTGTATGCGACAGCAAACACTAATATAGATATATTCACCCATGTTAAAATATTTCAACTCGAAATAAAATTCTGGATATATTTAGTGTCTGCTGCTTCATATATTGATTATCTATTTTGTGCAGAATATTATATTTAACGTGAATTGCCAGGACAGACAAGAATTCCAAAATACTTATAATCTGTGATCTTTGCCCTCTGCAAAACTTTGTCTAGTGACAGCATGAAATCACACACAAGAAATAAGAAAATAATTAGAGAAAAAAATAAAAACTATATGGGCATGACTGATACTGATTCATCAATTCAAACTAGTTCTAAACTCTCTGAGACTTTTATATAAATAACAGAAAGATTAATAAGGGTTTCAAAAAATTATAACTTTTTACTGCAGCTTTATTACATTTGGGGGTCATAATTTCTTTAAAATAAGAAAAAGATTATTTTAGAAATTTTTCTTGTTTAATTCACTGGGACCACCTCAAAATAGCTATTAGTACAAAAATAACTTCTGTTAAGTTTTGAAGGCCACTGGAATCAAATATTAGATACATTAGCTATATGCAATTCTATGTAAATTTGTGTTCATTTACAATACAAATGTGCTCTATTATCTTTTTCTGAGATTAATTACTTTATGACTAGGAGTGGCAAGGATGATATTGCTAAAGAAACTGATTGGCTGTGACATAGAACTGCTAAAGCCACAATTTCTATGCAAAAATGTGAAGCAGGCAAAGCACATTCTTTTCTTATATATTCCAATAAATGGTCTGAATAAATTGGTCAATAATGAATATGGTGGTGGGGATATTAGCTAATAATATTTCTATGGAGATATGTATAAAGAACTAAATGCAAAAAAAAAGACAATAGAAGAAAATGTAGTATGTTTCATTAAGTATCTAATGGAATAAGAATTTCAAAATATAAAACAATATAAGAAAATTCAATGGAAAAGATAGAAATTATACCATATCACGACTTAAAAATTACAAACATAAAAACATTATCATAAAGAAACTTATCAGACAAAAAATAAATTGAGAAAATATCATAAATATGACACCAATTAAATAATACTCTAGAATTGTACACTTGAAACTTATTGGATTTTGTTAATCAATGTCACCATAAGTTAAAAAATAATAGAAATAATAATTAATATCCTAAACAAGTAAAGATGTTTATACATATTGAGAAATAGAAAAATGAGCAAAGGCCATGATCAGATAATTTATAGAGGAGGGAATAAAAATGATAACATAAAATTATATATAGGAGTTCTTATACCACTACTAATCAGAAATGTAAATCAAAAATAAAATAATAAAATTTTTAATTTATTTGAGCTTTTTTTGAAATTTTTAAAAATTATGCTGGTGAAGCAAATAGTCTTATACATTGCGTTTCAAAGTAAAACTGAATTAATTTTTGCAGTGGGTTCCACATTATAAAAACAAGACTGAACAATCTTTTCTCCTAAGACCATTATGCTTCTTTGTTTATAAAGTATTGTCAATATTCTTAAAGAATCTATCCTCATACTTTATTATAAAAGTGATCATTTATTCTTTGTAAGAATCACAGATTTATAAAATTTTAGGGTTGTGAGAGATTCAGTAACTGTAAAGTCTTGTATTATTGTTATTGAAGCCAACACATTGGAAGTTTAGAGAGATTATAATGTTGGAAATAGAGCAAATTATCAACTAATGAAAAAAATCATTAATAAAGCCAGATCCATTTCTTGAGAAAGGTATCAATATGGAATATACTCTGATAAAAACTTCAGTTTGTTCCTATATTGGTTTTTGATCCTTGAAAAAAATGGTCAATACAATATTATTTGTGAGCATCATTGTACTCACATAAATCCAGATGTTTACCTAGCTGATCTATGCTGCAAACTCTTAATTTGGAAACTCACTTACAGAGGAGTATGACTGAGTTGAACAAAAAGTGGCAGAGATCTAACTCTTTGCCAAGTACTAGGCAAGGTATAAAAAGGTATATGACATGGTTGCTGTCCTCAAGGAGCCTATAGAAGTAGAGAGAAATACACATAAGGAAGATCACTTTAGTGTAATATAGTAAATAATAAGATAAGTGGTATGGAAAGATAGACATGGCACTTTGAAATTTAATGGCAAATTTCTTAGAAAAGATGGTATATGATCTGAGACTTATAGAATAAGAAAAAAGGTTACTTAGGTTTTTCTAGGCACAGGGAATAGAATGTACAAATGCAAAGAATTGTGAAACTACATGGTATATGAAAGAAATTATAAATAATTGATTAGCCTAGAGCTGCTCTGTACACATCTGCCACAAGGTCAGTGAACCACTGATACTGTTCCACAATGACATTAAGGACAGAAACTAACTGTAAACATTTTAAAATGATTAGAGCAATCTGATATTACTGCAACATTCTGTTCATGTTACTGTATTTTTTAAAAGGCAAGAATGAAACACTTTCTTTTTCTAAGCAGAGTAAAATCAGATTCTTTCTTCCTTCATTAATGCCATCAAGAAGTCATTTATTCATTTTGAGAGACTCTCCAACCTTGGATATAAAACTCATCCAGGAAATCAGTACAAAATTTGAAAGAGGGTCCTGTTTTGCTGGTATTTCTATAATCATTGTGCTCCTTCTAGAGCTACTCCATGCTCTGGCATGTGCTGGACCCTCTATCACCAACAGATGCTCTGGAAAAACATCATAAATACCTTGTTCTACAGTCCTTTCCACAGACTCAGGCTTGACATGAATCCTGTGGCTACTCTCTGCTCTTCAAACGCCCGCCCCCAAGCCAGTGTCCAACTTTCTCCCATACAATGCAATGGTGCACCCATCCTTACCAAAGACCCTGCTTCTGCCAACCATCCCATGAAAGAGCAGGGTACAGGTCTCCACCCTGGTACCACTGTCCACGCCCCAACCCACCCCCCATATCGGTCTCCTCCCAGACTCTAGCAAACAGCCAGCACTGCCACATCTAATCTCTGCCAGATCGGGAAACTACCCCTTTCCCACTTGAGGTGCAGAAGCCTCCATCTCCTGCCCCTTTTCGGACCAACAAAATTGTTTCTGTCCTGCAAACGAGAAAACCCCAAAGTCATCAACCAAAGCCCTGGCTCTCCTTCCTGTGAAGCAGATGTAAAGAGACGCCTGTTCATCCTTATTAGCGGCCTAATAAGTAGGGAGAAAAATGAAAATTGCCAATAAATTTCTTATTACTCGCATTGTCATCCCAAGCAACAGACCTCAAATTGTATCACATTAGTGATAGGGTACTTTAATCAGAGGAAACATATAATGAGATTTGTACTTGAGACACATCACTGAAGTTTACTATGGATGATTAATTCAAAAGGAGTGACACTGGAAGCAGAGCAGTCAGAAGATACTACAATATTCCCTAGGAAAAGGACAAGGGCTTTACCGGTCTGCAGTGAAGAAAGGGATGGAGATGAAGAAATAGAATGGAATAGAGAAATGTCTGGCACATAAAATTCTCCAGCAGTGGTGACTGATTGAACATAGGCAATGGGGAATAAGGAAGATTGGGATTATGGATGATGCCCACACACCTAGCATGAGAGCCTGGATTGATCATGGAGGTAATAGCAAACATGGGAATTATGGAGTGAGAGGGAACAGCTTTGGGAGGCAGTATAGTGGTTTTCTTTTCAGACATGTTGAATTTTAAGTGCTTGGGAAACATTCAAGTAACCCTACTGGGTGGGAAAAACAATCGGCTAGTCACTAACAATTCCTTACAAAAAAAAAATGGTCTCCCCCAACATCTCTACTTCTTAACTTTCTTAGAATCTGAACTTTTTTTTCTCCCCCTATCCCACAGGCTTAATCTTCAGCTTCTATGCCCCAGGGTTAGAAAGAGAAAAATCAATCCTGACTTCCAACCCTGCTCGCCAGTCTGCACCAGTCACCTGCCCCAATAAAACGATGCCAAGATGACAGACAATAATCTGACAGAATCAAAAAGAATCCTGGGCCTCTCCTGTCCCTTGAGACGTGTAAAAGCATGTTGCTGCATTTTATAGGAACATCCTCAGGAGACTGAATTTTAGGAAGGTCATTTGTGAGCGGTTAGCTTGACAGCCCAGGCACATGGGTTTACTAATGACATGACCTTCCCTTGAGTTTAAAGTTTCCAGAGACGACAGATTTTATCCATGAGAACTTTCCTACTTTCTTGATGTGCTTATATTACCTAATGTTTGTATTTATTGTTTTCCACTACATTAATGCAGGGAAAATTTGTAAGTGTATTGTTAAATATTAGGTAGAAATCATGATGTGCCACTTTGTACATAAAAATATTTTATTCATATTTCTGTGTAATTTTAATAAATAATTACTGTATTCAACACACTAAAATATCATAATGTGACTGTAAAAATGGCAATGTATTGTCTTCCCATAATTACGAATATTTTTATTGATTATTAGAATATGAGAACTCAGTAATGAAAGTTGTCTGTAATAAGTGAGAAAAGGACAAAGAATTCATGTATCAGACCCTATTAGAAGGAAGTCATACCATTTCTTTGGTCTTTCTATTTGTAATTCACACTATACGACAAGGATGTAAGGGCATTTATGATACTCTGTACGGCATTCATTAAGAAGATAACAAACAGGATTGAGACTTTTTTTCATAATCCTTTTAGTTGATACTATCTCTGTGCATTTTTTATTTTTTTAGAAATGTAATGATTTGTTCTAGCAGTCATTGTTAAATCTCCAGTTTATAGAAACCAACACTCTGTAAATACATAATTGCGATATTATTTTTCAGTGCATCCCTTTCATTAACATACCATATAATTACAGCTGCCACTCCGTCAGGAGCGCACTCTTCTGTTCAAAGCTAATTGATCAACCTTGACCACTTCTTGGACACATGCAATCAAAATGTCATGTTGGTTGAAGTTTTATGGAAAGCTTTGAAACTAATAAACTACCAGTGGCAGTTCTTTAATTTTTATGATTACCTAAGCTGGTTTCGATGCTGAATTATCTTAGTGACATGAGAGCAGTGTTGTGGTGACAGAACAGTGTACATAAAACTGGCTTTTAAATTTTTTTTAGTTGTGGTATATTTGAAAACCTCCAACTTTAAGGATTATGTAAATAATCATCTTGGTTTGAGCTTCCTGATGTCTGGATTATTTCTAACCGAAGACACCAAGCAAACATATCTATATTTCTGACTGGTGTCTCCTTATGTTTCTTTAAGAAGAAAGACGGGGAATTGATGGAGGGAAGAGGTAAGAAGGTAGAGAAAATGTCAAAGATCTCCTTGAGAAATGCTGTGCCCATGCTTAACTCTGACCTAGAAGTCTTTTAAATGAGTGTGACAGTGGTTGGAACATGCCAACCATGGAGCATTTGTCTTCAGGAGGAAAATATTTCAACACCCTCGGAATGCTTTAATGAGCTTCTTCAGCAGACACCTTGTTACACAGAATATACTGCAAAGAAACAAGTTCTGCAATTTAAATTATTATAACCAATATCTTAGTCTGGCCTCTAGAAAAATCATTTTCTTGACTTTTCATAAGCATTGTCAGAGAGTTTACAATGATTGGGAGGAAGGAAAGCTTTTTAATGGTCATGAAAGAATGACATTTATTCTAGTTCAAGAAAGAATATACTTTAAAAAAGAATATACTTTACACTAACGACTCTAGCATTAAAATTTAAAAAGTCAAAGTGATAAGAGAACTGAGGAATTTGCAGAGATATTCATAGTATTTTATAGCATCAATCTCAGAGGTAATGTCTACACTTTTATAAATCAACTTAAACTTCTGGTGAAATAGGGTATTTTATTATCAAGCCAAACTTACCATTAATTAGATGTGTTTTTTAATTACCTGATTTAAATGATCTACTTTTTATGCCTGACTTGCTGTAAGCATTTTATTCTGACATACAGTTCAAATGTCACTACAGCAAAGGAATAGCCATATTTAGATCAAAGGCAAACTTTCCTATATGTTTGTTCTGCATGACAATATGAATATAATTTAAGTGTATCAATAGTCAAAACATAAACAAAGATGATTAACTGGCGCTGCTGTCATCTGAGAGTAAACAGATGTTGTTGGTTGATACACTGGCTGTGATCAGCCAACAGAGAAAGATTTCTAAATTCCCCTTGCTGAGCTGAAATATTCCATTACATTTCTGACAAATCTATGTCTTATTTCTTGTCTACTTGCCATTCTAAGTTCATGAGGATCATCTCAGGACATCGATGAACCTTCAACAAGGAATCTGCTAGCTTTCCCTGACATTTCTCTGTTGAACTCCATTTATGATCATTCAAGATTTTATGGGGCTCTAAAAAGAAACTGGGTATGTCCTCTAAAAGTTGTGTTTTGAGTGATGATAGTCTCAAGACTATGAAACTGTTAATTATTGCCTAATAGTAAAGCTATCCATCATTGTGATTAATTAAGTAATAGACAAACTGAACTGAGAATTTGTGATGGATTATCTACAGATCTTCACTTAAAAAATTCCCCACAAACACAAACAAGATTTTTCATGTTCCCTTAAATGAGTGTACTTTGTCCTTGCTTCCAGATTTGTCTTATGGTCCTAAATATACCTATTTCCTGATTTGTATACTTTTTAAAGGAAAAACATCTATCTTGTCCACCAAATATTACATTCCTGAACTTGAAGTTAGAATTCTACCAAAGTGATCATGGATAATATAATTAATTAGCTAACATCATATCCAAGACTCATTGTGTGCCAAGCACTGTGATAACAACTTCACATTCTTCATCTTGGTTAATCATCATAATAATGGTGAGAGATACATTGTAACATTATATTATTATTTCTATTATTATTGTTATCATTATCACCATCATCACCATAAGCATATCCATTTTAAAGGTATAGAAACCAAGATAGAAAGTTAAATAATGTACTCAAGGTTGTACAACTGGTAAACAGCAAAAATTTAAATTTTAAGCTAATTCCCAAATCCCTATTCATCACTATACTACTTAGTCTTCTAATCTCAGTTTACTTATCTATAAAAGGTAGTTAAAGCATTTTTCTCCTGGCCATAGTTTAAAACAGAGGCTAGATTTATCATCCCACTATAAACAATTGAAAAACTGAACAACTGTTTTACACAGTGAACAAATACAGAGCTGAACTGTGATCCATGAGAAGAGAGAAACAAACTCATGAGCCTTGTGACTGCCCGACTTTGACACATTTCAGACCAGCTACAGAGAGGAGGACTCCTAAACAGAACCAAGTAGTCACACTGAGTTGAGAAGGCAGAGATCAGAACAGGGAGACCAAGGTAGCTGGAATTTGTGGAGCGGAGTACCAGACGGGAGGAAGCTACATAGAGAAAGACATCAATAAATCTGCATGTAGGTGACTTTGTATCTTTTAATGGAACATTAAGCTGTACATACACTTAGGGTGAAACTCCATGAAACCAAGCAAAGAACTACTGAGGAGTTGTATGCTGAAAATTCCTAGGTATCATACAGAACAGAAAGACATTTAAAGTCAGATCAACCTTTTTGGAAAATTCTAATTGATTATCTTGATTAATAATCCCAGAAGATTCACATATTAGTAAAGCACCCCTAGATTAAAGCACTAACCAGCCTAAAAACAAGTTTTGAAAAAATGAAGCTACTAATCCACAAAATATTTAAAGGCCTCCCAGGCCAAAGTCTGACAATCTTTTATACATGCAATGAAGTACATCAAAACAACTTAACAACATGAAGTTCCAAATATTCATCTTCTAATCTAAAATTATGTAGATGTTTCCGAAGAAGTAAATTGTAAACCATAACCATGAGAGAAATTAGTTAATAAAAACGGATTCAGAAATGGCAAAGAGGATGGGCACTTCACAATTAATTCCATGAGAAAAGCATTACCCTGAGAATAAAATCAGCCAGAAAACATTACAAGAAAGAAAAAGAAAAAGAAAAAAACCTATAGACTAATAGCCCTAACAAATATAATTACCAAAATACCAAAACCATTAACTAAATATTAGCAAATAAAATTCAACAAGATCCCCAAAAAAGTAAGATTTATTCCAGGAATCTAAGGTTGTCTAACATTTGAAAATTAGTCATTGTAATTCAACATATTAACAGAATAAAGAAAAAAACCCAAACGCTTATCTCAATAGATATAAAAAAATTTGACAAAATTCAATATTTATTCGTAATAAAATCTCTCATCAAACTAGGATTAAAAAGAAACTTCCTCAATTGGATAAAGCATATTTATAAAAAATCTACAGCTAACTTTTGTATAAATGATGAAAAATTAAGTGCTTTTCTCTAAAGTTAGAAACAAAGTAAACATATTCACTCATCACTTCTAAGCAACATTGTGTTGTTTTTTTGGGGGGAGGGGGAAAGTCCTAGCCAATACAATAATGCAAGAAAAAAGACATATATAGATTGGAAAGGAAGATGACAGAATCATGCATATATCCTAGAATATCTACAAAAAAGCTATGTGAATTAACGAAATTTATTATGGTTGCACAATATAAGATCAATATATAGAATCAACTGAGCTTTTTAGTAACAAAAAATAAAAATTGGAACAAACATACCATTAACAATAATGCCATCAAATACAAAATTCTTAGTGATAAACTTTACTACATATGTGCATGCCTTCTACATTAAAATTTTCGAACTTCTGAGAGAAATTAAAGAATGCCAGACCCTAGATTAAAAGATGCATTATTAAGATGTCAGTACTACTTAAATTGTGATCTATAGATCTATCACAATTCCAGTCCAAATCCAGTTTTCTTCTTTGTAGAAATTGGTGATTCCAGTGTTTATATGGAAATGAAAAGAACTTAGAATAACTGAAACATTCTTTTTAAGTTGGAAGACTCATACTACTGAATTTAAAGACTTACTATAAAGTACAGTAATCAAGACAGTGCCATATTGACCTAAAAAACAGATTTAATCAATGGAATAAAACAGAGATTAAACAGTAAATGTATACTTTTCCCCCTATATAAATGTGCATATAGTCATTTTTTACAAAGATGCCATAGTAATTCCATGGGAAAAGGACAATCTTCTCAACAAATGTCTCTGAAACAATAAGATGTATGTACAGAAAAAATGAAGCTTAACATTCACCTAATACCAAATGCAAAAATCAACTTGAAATGTGTCATAAGTTTAACATTAAAGTTACATCTATAATATTTGCCTTCTTTAGAGTCAGTAAAAATTTTCTAAATAGGACACGAAAGGCCAAAACTGAATACAAAATGAAAAGCTGAACTTTATCAAAAGTAAAAAATCTACTTTTAAAGTAAGCATAATAAACTAAAAATGAAAAATGAAGAATAGAAGAAATTATTTACATTATATATGTCTGACAAGTGGCTTGTATCTAGGACATGTAAAGAACTCAAACAAGTTAAAAATAGGAAGTTAATTGACTAAAAACAGAAATAAAATATTTGAAAAGCTAATTCAGAAAAAAGATATATGATTTCCCAATAAGCACATGAAAAGATACTCAATATCATTTAATCATCATGTAAACTTAAAACTACAGTGTGATACCATTACATATCTATGGGAATGGCTAAAATTACAAAGGCCAGTCATACCAATCGTTGGTGGGAATATGGAGGAACTAAAACTCTCATACATTGCTAATATAAATGTAAAATCATACAATCATTTGGAAAACAATTTAACAGATTCTTCTTAAAAAAAAGTTTAAGAAGCTAAATGCGTATTTCTCATATGACGCAGAATCTCCACTTTTATGTATTTACTCAAGAGAAATAAAAATACACGTTCTGGCTATACAAACACTTATAACCATATGTTTATATTAACTCTATTCTTAATAGCCAAAAGCTATAAACAACAAATAAATTGTGATATAGTCATCCAATGGGTTATCACTCAGCAATAAAATGTT